AGAAAAAAAATTGTTTTCTACAATTTTTTTTCTTTTATTACATAAAAATATTGAAGCATATATTACAATTTGTTTTTAAATAAATAAATAAAAAATATTATTATTAAATCAAATTACATATCCATGTAAGATTTTTCTGCATTATGTTGACGAAATTTCCTTTGACGTTCAGCATTTGATTTTGGTACTGTTTTTTGTTTTGTTTTTAGCGTGAGGTTTTTTTTCGTTACGGAATTTCTGGATTCGGTCCCCGCGCTCAAGGCCCTCGATAGAAGCTATGCAATAGCTTAAAAAGTATTAAAAACCAATACTGGCAAGATGTTTTAGAACGTATAGGTTTATCAAGAAAAATATGAAAATTATACAGCCTTTAAAAGTAATTTTAAACCTAACCTAAAAGCTCCAATTTATTTCCAAAGTAAACCTCAAAAATAAAATGAAACTGTCTAAATCTACGCAGTGATAATTTACTATCTAAACTAAAAGTTAAAACTGTTATCAAAATAATACGCAGGCAGTTGGCCTGTCATTTCTGCCGCCATTTCCCCTGCGGAGTGCCGCTGTATCGTGTTATCACTTAGGTACACTGTCTCCTCCCCAGGGTTACATTATAATAACCGAATCTGCTGACCCGGTTCGTTTAAACTTTATCCTTTATATAGGTCACTCGGTAAATTCATTCATTCTTATAACTAGGTATGTTTTCTAGTTTTACTCTAACATTTATGCAAATAATAGTTATACCCTGATACGCTTGTCACATTGTGGTTGCAAAAATTAGATGTAAATTATCTTTCAAGTGTGTCGTATTTTGTGTCAAAGTTTGAGTTTTTTTTGTTTTTGAACCATACACAAAACAACTGAACATTTTTAAAGAAATTAGAGAAGTTTTACATAGTTTTTCAGACACCCTGTGACCACGGCCAATGCAACTGGATTGAAACGTCAGACAATCTAACGAAATGTTATTACATGGTCGTGTTAATCTATACATATAAAGTTACTTATACTGATGTCACCACTGCTATTCGTCACGTGGGTGTCGTAAGAGCCAACAAAGGGAGCAAGTAGGATAACAGCACTGCAAAGAGAAAGAAAACTTGACACAAACCCTTTTTTTTTCTTACGTGTGGAAATCCCCTCGGACCGTCACCCCACCGGGGTTTGCGGCGGGGTGGTGTGTTGGACTCGGACCGACTAAAACCACACGGTGTGCCACTCTGCGCCTGTAATAGGAGGGATCCGGGAACAGCTGTTATCAAGACATCCGGAAACTTGACACAAAGCCTATTCCAACCCGTCTGGCCAGCGTGGTATAGTGGGCTGAAACCATCATTAAACGACTATTTAATGAATTATTTAACGATTTTTTTACTTTTGTTTTTACTTGATTTTAAGACATGTCTTCATTTTAATCTTAAACAATGAAGTAATGTAATAATTTATTCAAATATTATTGGAACGAAGTTCCTTATCACGCGTTGTGAAAGGGGGCTAGACGGAAAAAATTCTCACGAAAAGTTGTAACGACACTTTTTATGTCAGTCATTCAGCGCCATCTATCGAATAGCCTGCACGGATGGCGTAGTGGTTTAAGCGGTCGCCACGCCGCTTCCTACTGCGCCGAGTGTTGTGGGTTCAAACCCCACATGGGACGACACTTTGTGTGATCCACAAATTGTTGTTCTGAGTCTGGGTGTTCTTTGTGTCCGTTTCATGTATGTTTGTAAAGTCCCCCGCGACACAGGATATTTTCCTAATGCGGGAGTTGTATTATAAAAAAAAAATAAAAAAAAAAAAAAAAAAAAAAAAAAAAATAGATAGGAAATCATTTCTCAAGGAGATTTTACCAATGTATAAATTGTTTTAATTAGAAACCAACTGAAAAATATGTAGGTAATAGCCGCTTTCATAGATGGCGTTGTAATTAAAATCGTGTCGAATCAGTTTTACTCGATCGTCACAACTTCGTTCCTATCGGGTGGGACACCACACGGCTTTTTTGTACATTTATTTTTTTAAATTTAATGAAATTGTAATTGATGATATGATGTAATGAATCATTGTTATTGAATATGGAACAAGTTTTCTGAAATAAAATAAATTATTATTATTATTAAAACCTACTTTCTATGGAGAGGCCTATGTCCAGTAGTGGACTATTAAAGGCTGTTGATGTGTGTGATGTAGTCTTGACTGATTCATCAACGCAGATCCCAAGCTGCTGGGGCTACACAATTGAAATTTGGGCAGCTGATGCTTTTTACGTTACCAATAAGAAAGGATTTTTGGAAATTTCACCCCTAAGGCGGTAAAATAAGCGATGAATACTTGTATTGAAGTTCGTCATTTTCAAAGAAACAATAACACGAGAGAAAGCTAGTTTCTGTGTATGTACATAATTATGTATCATGGAATGCTAAAGATTAAAACTTTGTGTACATAGATTTTATATTTTTTTTAATTGCACGGCAGCCTAGGTCTCTCTTTGCCACAGTATCCAAGTCCTGCTTTCCGTAGTAGTATTCCTCTTTTTGCAAAATCAGATTTCCTTACACCAACATCCCTTTATACGTTGTTTCCTCTAAAACCGATTACATTCCCTAGCGTTGGTCCAGTCATAAAGAAACCATTTAAAGTTTTACATTGCTCCGACTTCGCGTAACATTGTGAAAATGATGTGAAAATGATGGTACTACTCACGTTCTGTCCTTCATACATTAACCATTTACCGTTAGGCTGAATGTTTACCAACTGAAACATATAAAAAAATCGTGAGACAGTGGCTACTAAGGTCGTTGTAACATGCCCTACCTCTTATACAGCGTGTTACAGAAACGTGTGGTTAAACTTTAGGAGCGTTGTGTGTAACCGAACAATAGATGCATTTTTTTTCGTGAGGAAATCCCCATGGGACATCATGTCAGGTCACGGTGAAGCGTTGTGTCAAAATCGAACCGACTAAAACCACACAGTGTGCTGTCACATGTGAGTTTATTGCATGGGACTCGCGTACACCCTAAGATGGAAGTCCCCGAGAACCTAGGTAAACCCTGGCCACCATAGACAGCCATACCATTAACTGCAAAGACCCGCGCAGAATACATTGCACAATCGTCTCAGGCGCGTATCTACGAGGGTAAAAGGGAACCTCATCGACAGACAACATACAGATGATCTGGCTTGAAGAAAAATGAATGTTAAATTTTTTCACAACCTTTCTTTCGGAAAGCATTTTTCCTAGGTAACTACATATTTCTTAATTACACACACATTACATCAACAACCTATAAAAATCCACTACTATAGGCCTCTTTTTAGAAAAGAGGTAAATAACTTATTAAAAACTTTCAAAATTATTTCAATGTTTTTGATTTTTTAAGCAGATTTTTTTTAGAAAATTTTAACATCTGAGCAACATCCTTGGTGTTACTAATAGTTTTATTCATGTCAACCGTCTTTCATACGTAATATTAGCTCTATCAGTAAATTTTCAAATTCATCTTTTAATACAAAAAAAAATGTGTTTAATTTGCCTGCCTTTCTGTACCACCATGTATTGAGTCACAGTGTGTGTGAGAACTTTTTAATGGACGATTGACCGTAGGTCATATTATTATGTAGTCCATAACATAAGCTTTTATGAGTCTACAGCCACTTAAAGGTAATTGTACACTATCCTGCAATACGCAGAAATGTTGTTATTATGGTCGCAATATTTTACTTATTGCATTTATTTACATATCTGTACATAATCAAAGTTTAATGGAAAATGGTAGAAGTGTAAAGAACGGGTAATATAATTATTTCTTGTATCAGTATACCAGAAGTTTTAGAAGCCTGTGAAAGCCCCAGCCCCCAGATGCTTCTGCGCTCCTGAAAGGAGCTTGGTTGGTTCATCTAGCCAAACTTTCCTCGACGCATAAAGGACCATTCTTAAGTTTAAATACCAATGCAATCGTTGGATGCGGGCAGCACAGGACCGGTTGTTGTGGCAAAACTTGGTTGAAGCCTTTATCCAATGGTGGACGTGTTTCGACTGAGAAGAAGAAGCATATTATAAAACTGCTTAGTTTGTTTGTTTGCTTGAACGCGTTAATCTCTCGAACTCCTGGTTCGAATTGAAAAATTATTTTATTGTTAGATAGCCCATTTATCGAGGAAGGATATAGGATATATTACATCCCGCTACCACAAATAGGAGCAGATCCTTAATAAAAAATCTTGCAAAAATGGGGAAAATCTACTCTTTATTAGAGAGAGAGAGGAGACGATGTAGCGCGGGTGAGCTGGTATTGAAGGTACTGGCAGAAACGTATTAAACGCCGTCACTCTGAAGACCATAATTTTGAAGAACGTAACAAGGGCAAGTGCATCGCCGTCAACCAGGTACACTTTAGGAAATAGATGTAAAAACTCTGAATTCTATTTAAACAAAAACTTGGAAAGTGTTATTTTTTGGTGTAAGCAATACCTAGGCTGTCTTTCATACCTATCACTAGAAATGGTTGTTCCAGGTTATTGTGAACCAGGAAATCGGCTGCTTTAACCGGCTATAAAATAATAATAATAAGTTGATATATCTTTAACGCACGGACATCTGATTATAAACCAATCTGTACTATGGTGTGGTTACTATAGTACAGATTGGCTTGTAAACCACAATCATATGATGATGAGCCTGGTGACTATGGAAAATATAAACATATATTTTACACATACATTATTATTGATAAATTATTATTATTTATTTATAAACAAGTATATTTAATTTAAAAAATGTATAAAAAGAATCGTTCAAAATTGACCTACATGACTGCTGTAGTCTTTATTGTATAAAATAACCATAGATATGAACTGAAAGAGTTTTTAAATATAATTGGGAAACCATAGAGATGTCATAAACGAATCAAACGTCATGAACACGAAAAAACCCAATTTTCTAAAAATTCATTGTCAAATTTTTGTAAACACGTCACAACAATTGCAATAAAAATAAAATGCAAACACCTCCAGATCAGACACCCTTTCCGAGAGTATACGACGAAGCTCAGAAATCTCGTGCTATCTTCTTTTACAGAGATGTATGCGTATTAAAGGAAATAGAAAAAGATGCAAACGATAAACGATATGGCAAATTATCAATATTCCCTAAAGTGTGCTCTTATGGTAAACTATCCTTACTTCCCACAGTCCACGCAGCAAAAGCACCAGAGGCTCCAAAACGCCCCCCACCAATGAAATTCGAAGATCTGCCGATTTATGAGAGCCCACACTATGAGTACAAAGATTATATTGAAGATAAAAAACGTTGCCCTAGGGCCAATGAGAAACTTCTTCAAACGTATCTTTATCCATCAGTGTGCCAATACAGAAAACGGATGATAGAATCAGTCGGTGGGTTGACAAAAGAACTGTGTTTAATGCAAAAAGAAGTGTGCAATGAAATATGCAAAAATAAAGTAAAATTCAAGAATTATATGAGGGCCGAGGAAAATTTACTGTTACGGAAAGGTGTGGTTGCTTTAGGGACTCTCACAGGGGTGTATCTTGGGTCCGGTACCAGAGGTGTGATCAGAAAGTTATTCGGTGGTACTCTGGGTGCACTAGCTGCGGGTGCACTCTGTTTTCCGAAGGAAACAGATGAGATATTTAGAGAAGTATCATATAAAGTTGGAAAAATTGCAATATCAATTATCAATGCTTGTTGTAATGGTAATTTTGCAATGAGAGAACGGATACCATGCCAGCAGGATTTACCAAGTCCACCTCAGCCACGGCCAGCCGACAAATCAAATAAACACTGTGAGCAGAAAAAGAAATGAGAAAATAAAGTAATTTAGCAACAAACGGTTTTCTTGGAGGTTTTGAATTTGGATTTCTGTAACATGAACTTAAAAATATGGTTTTGAGTACCAATCAAGTTATTTATTGATTAAAAGCAAATGTGTTTTTAGTTGTTTCATATGATTTAAATGATAGAGAAGTAAAACCCTCAGATATTTGCGCTTAGTAAGCCAAATATCTGAGGGTTTTAGTGCCGAGCTTTAGTGCTGAGCTGGAGGTGTACGTGTTTAACTTAATTTACGTGTTACAAGGGGTAAAATAACTTTGTAAATAGCAGGCAACATCGCAGGGCAATATAATGTGCAATCAGTACATCAGCGTGGTACGAATATAAGTATTGTTTTTGTGTTATATACGGATTATCTTGCATATTGCAATGATGTAGCGAGACTGGAAACGACTGCAGTAGGATGTAACAAAATGAAATTATGGTTGTTTTGTTCCTTACATGGCAATTTTAAATTGCATATGACTTATTTCTCAGTCTCAATCACTGCTAGATTGATAGATTATCAGTTTAAATAAGTGACTACCGCCGTCCATGGATACTGCACTTCAAGAGATGCAAGTGCCTTTACACCCTTTGAGATACCTTTCCCCCCCATTTAAGGCATGGGTGAAAACTCAGTGAAAACGTATAAAGAAATACTGGGTCTCCGACGAATGAAATGTTTATCACCAGTAATGTTAGCTAGATGACTTTTTTTTTTATTTATTCATTTAAAGTGTAGTTCATTTAAATTGTGTACAAATTAATAAGATAAATTTGATATACATATCATTTCCTGAGCCACGAAGGTTTATAATGAATGCTAAGCGTTCATTACAGACAATACAAACAGATTAGCAAAGTAGATATTATTAATTTTGATTCACAAGGAACTATATATTTGTAAACACATCCAGTGAGTTCAAGTCTACGTCCGTTTCCAATAAATACAACATTTAGCCTTGAGCTTTCAAAAACAATGGGTGATTATTTTGACTCCTTATTGTGCTAGTATACTCTTGTTAAAAGTACACGTCATAGTCTTCAGGAGAAAGAGTTTCATGAGGTCATTATATTCATCGCTTTGTGGGAAATTTCATGGTCAGTTGATGTCTTGTTTCTTTAACTGTAAGACAGTATTTACTGTCAGTTTACTGACTTGGTAGTGCAGTGGCAGCGTATGCAAATGTTATGCTGAGGTCTCGGGTTCGGTGACCGGCTTGGGTCAAATGTTGGTATGATCTGCAAATATTTGTTTCGGAGTTTGGGTGTTTTTCATATATATAGTGTTTAGTTTGTATATATTTACAATAAAGAGTAAATAAGAATTCTATCGGTCAATCTGCTTAGTTTAAAACTAGATGGCGTTGTGGTAGATGTCCAAAAAAAAAAAACAAAAATATAGTATGTAGCCTCGGCCGCTTCAAGCTATTTTAGTCCCGTGTCCCGTTCGGATGGGACTTACGGTATGCAAAGCTCTCTTGCCCTATATGTATTTTACGGTTCTGTTACTCAAAAGGAAAATAATGGAACCCTTATAGGATCACTTTGATGTCCGTCTGTCTTTCCGTCTGTCTGTGAAGACCATTTATCTCGGGAACGCGTGGAGGTATCAGTTATAATTTAATCATAAAAATTTAGTCTTTATTTAAAGTACGTAATCAATCACCGAGATAAAATTTCACATATAAAACACATATGTGAAATTTTACCTCATAAAACACATATAAGTAATTTAAGGTTTTTGAAACTAAATTTTGGAAAAGTTTGGAAGAAATGACCTACAAATTTGTTTGGAACCCTCGGTGGGCGATTCCGACTCACGCTTGTCCGGCTACACCCCCCCCCCCCCCCCCCTCCCCATGGAGCTTCTTTTTTCTTTGCATCTAAAAATAACGACATTTCTAAGGGGTGTGTGCGTCAGACTGGCAACCGTAAGGACTGGGACTGGGACTGTAAGGACTGGGACATGGATTTAAGGTCCTGAATCAAATCCGAACCTATTCAGGCCCTAAGCCACAATCTTAAGCATGTACCAACACCTTAACTCTGTGCTACTATTGAGAATTTCTTGATAGAAAGTTCCAAATAGGTTAGCTGAAGTTAAAATAATCACATTTAAACTTTAGCTTTGAATACATTGTTTTATTTGAAAAGAAATTATTCATATTTAATACGTTAGAATATTGTCTACGCGTAACCACAAAGAAATTTGGTTTTTTTTTTCAGCAATATTTCACTGTGTATCTCGTTTTTCACCTCACTGATTTTTATGGCATTCGGCGTCGTTTAAATCAATACAATTCTCTTGCATAGTGGGCGTAAAAACCTATGTTTCAAATATTTGACATACAGACTGTACTACTCTTTGAATTTTGTAATATGGGCATTACATAAATAAAACGCCCTGAATACGTCTTCAAATGATATGACTTCTAGTTATGTTGGATCTGGTTCAACTTTTAGTTACATTGTGTGTTTCGTAAAAGACTAGAAGATTTTTTTAAACGGTGTCAAGAGTGAATAGTCCACGAAAAATACTTAAAAATGTATGAGCACTGAAAATTTATAAACAGGCGATTTATTTATTTTTAAATCGTCATATACCCAGTTTCATTGTCACAGATAAGACGTATCTAACGACATCTCCGAAGCCAAAATCTCAGAAGCCATTTAGACAGACTACAGAGCGTGCCAAAGAAATATACATAACTAACTTTTGCCCGCGGCTCCGCCCGCGCATATGTCGGTTATCGCGGTAAAATCTCAAATCAAACTATCCAACCCCTTTTTACCAACTTAAAGGATGATTTCTAGGATAAAAACTATTCTATGTCCTTTTCCGGGACTCAAACTATATCTATACCAAATTTCATAAAAAACCAGTTCAGCGGTTTAAGCGTAAAGAGTTAACAGACAGACAGACAGTTAGACAGACAGACAGGCACACTGCCGCATTTATAATATTAGTAAAAGTTAACATATCAATAAAATTGAATTAATGTTTTAAGTAAATACACTCTTATTTTCAGAGAAATAGAATAACAATAAGCACCTCTTCCTCATCATCATCATCATCAACAGCCTTTAATAGTCCACTGCTGGACACAGGCCTCTCCACTGTAACGTGACAAATCAAACAATTTGGAAGGAAAAAGGACTTATTAAGCTATTTACGATAGGCCAAGTTGTTCACATGGTATGTCTCTGCCACTTCGCGGGACATTATCGTTACCTAGTCCAGCCCACTACCTAATTCTATTTGTTTCTTAAGAGACAACACACACAGACAGAGACACAATGGACACAAAGGACACCCAGACTAGAACAACAACAATTTCAAGATTTGTTGCACTCTTGCTAAACCTACCTTCTCTACAAAAAAAGTCCAGAATGGTATACGTCTATATCCTCAAGATAATCCACAGTAACCATTTTTATCTTATAAATATAAAAAAGGGTTATTTACAAAGCTATTTAAAACAATACTTTATTATTCCGTACCGGTACTTTAGATGCGTTGTGCATTTAATGTAGATTTAAATAACTATTTTAGATGATTTTAGAGGTTTAAAATACAGGGTCCAACGACCGTCGAGCCGTACCATTCCGAGTGGCAGCAGCCGGCAGTATCGGAGCGAGCCTTTAAATATTGCATATTGCATTTAGAGATGTCCTGTGGTATAGTCTTATCATAATAATAGTATAATGAATTACTCCACACTGACACCACATTAGCACTATTAGTAGTATCTACATTATACCCGTGCGAAGCCGTGGCGGATCGCTAGTTGCCATATAAATCCTTTTATGCTAAAAACTTTTTCTTTGCAAATAAATTCTAGTAAAAAGTAAACCATATTTAAATTTAAAACAATTTCACAAATTGATACCAATTTAAACTTTGCACGTACTTCACAACACTCAATTAATCACTGTTCACAACTCTTATGAAAAAAACAAGAATCAAACGGTCTTTAAACTCTTCAATTGTGTGCATGCAATTTTAAGTGGAGTTGTCAAGTTGTAAATCGTACAGGAATTGTAACAATTTATGTTCCCTGACGCGGTCGAGTAGAACAAAAAGGATTTTAGTATTGTTAAGATGTGACCTGTAACCTGTATCTTGCAGTTTTTATATAATGATGTTACGGCTTTGCTCTTACTTTTCTACAATCTGAGGGAGTGATTCCGTGAAAAGGGACGTAAATGTATTATGCCGTTTTGTATGCAATAAGTGAAAGTACTTATTTTTTCAAACTTTTTTATTTCTGTTATTCGAAGTAATCACCCATGCAATCGACGCATCTTTGCCAACGCATTGGCAGTTTATTGATGCCCTTCTTGTAAAAATCAGCTGGACGGAGGCAACAAACTCTTCAAAGGCATTTTGTACTGCCTCTTGGGAATTGAATTTTTTACCCACTAAAAAGTTGTCTAAATTTTAGAAAAAGTAATAGTCGGTAGGTGCAAGGTCTGGTGAGTACCAAGCAACCAGCTTTGGTCAATCGGTCGTCCCCACTGCTCCTTCACGACAACGCGCGACCCCATACTGCGCAACAGACAGTCTTCAAGTTGCAAGAGCTGGGGTTGGAAGCTCTCCCTCATCCGCCATACTCACCAGACCTTGCACCTACCGACTATTACTTTTTCCAAAGAGCCTTTGAAGAGTTTGTTGCCTCCCGTCCATTTTTACAAGAAGGGCATTAATAAACTGCCAATGTGTTGGCAAAGATGCGTCGATTGCAGGGGGGATTACTTCGAATAACAGAAATAAAAAAGTTTGAAAAAATAAGTACTTTCACTTATTACATACAAAACGGCAATTTCATAGGTAAAGACCCATTATATCATATGCGACTGTTGTAAGGCTGGTTATTTTTTATTAGTTAGACAGAATAGGCAAAGCCAGCAATATTTGTCCTGGGTGGTAATCGAACTACAAGACCACCTAACTAAGTAGTGGTAAATAATTATTTATGTTTTGTT